GGCTGCCTTCAGATGTCTTCTAAAAGTCTGGTAGTTGTTTTTCTCTTTGACGTCTGGTGGGAGGGCATTCCAAAGGGTGGGTGCCACTACTGAGAAGGCCCTCTGCCTGGTTCCCTGCAACTTGGCTTCTTGCAGCAAGGGAACTGCCAGAAGGCCCTCGGCACTGGACCTCAGTGTCTGGGCAGAATAATGGGGGTGGAGACGCTCCTTCAGGTATGCTGGACCGAGGCAGTTTAGGGCTATAAAGGTCAGCACCAACACTTTGAATTGTGTTCGGATACGTACTTGGAGCCAGTGTAGGTCTTTCAAGACCGGTGTTATATGGTCTCAGCGGCCACTCCCAGTCACCAGTCTAGCTGCGGCATTCTGGATTAGTTGTAGTTTCTGGATCACCTTCAAAGGTAGCCCCACATAGAGCACATTGCAGTAGTCCAAGTGAGAGATAACTTGAGCAAGCACCACGCTGGTGAGACAGTCTGCAGGCAGGTAGGGTCTCAGCCTGCGTACCAGATGGAGCTGATAAACAGCTGCCCTGGACACAGAATTGACCTGTGCCTCCATGGACAGCTGTGAGTCCAAAATGACTCCCAGGCTGTGCACCTGGTCCTTCAGGGCACAGTTACCCCATTCAGGACCAGGGAGTCCTCCACACCAGCCCTGTCCCCCCAAAACAGTACTTCTGTTTTGTCAGGATTCAACCTCCATCTGTTAGCTGCCATCCATCCTCCATCCGCCTCCAGACACTCACACAGGACCTTCACCGCCTTCATTGGTTCTGATTTAAAAGAGAGGTAGAGCTGGGTATCATCCGCATACTGAAGAAGACCCAGCCCAAACCCCCTGATGATCTCTCCCAGTGGCTGCATGTAGATGTTGAAAAGCATGGGGGAGAGGACAGAACCCTGAGGCACCCCACAAGTGAGAGCCCAGGAGTCTGAACACTCATCCCCCACCATCACTTTCTGAACACGGCCCAGGAGGAGGGAGCGAAACCACTGTATAACAGTGCCCCCAGCTCCAAACCCCTCAAGACGGTCCAGAAGGATGTTATGGTCGATGCTGTCAAAAGCCGCTGAGACATTCAGCAGAACTAGGAAACAGCTCTCACTTTATCCCTAGCCCGCTGGAGATCATCAACCAGCGCGACCAAGGCAGTTTCAGTCCCATGATGAGGCCTGAACCCCGAAAGGATCCAAATGGTCCACTTCTTCCAGGCGTGTCTGGAATTGTTCAGCAACCACTCGCTCAATCACCTTATCCAAGTATGGAAGATCTGAGACTGGGCGAGAGTTGGCCATATTGGCAGCATCTAAAGATTTTTTTTTATATGCCTGTTGCCTTTGTCCATGGAGTTTTCTTGGCAGGGATACTGGAGTGGCTTGCCGGTTCCTGCTCCAGGTGGATCACGTTTGGTCAAAACTCTCCACTATGACCTGTCCATCTTGGGTGGCTCTGCACGGCATAGCTCATAGATTCTCTGAGTTATTCAAGCCCCTTCGCCATGGCAAGGCAGTGATCCATGAAGGGGACCAAACTGCGGGAGGCAGCGGAAGACGGAAGTGCCTGGCGTGCTCTGGTCCATGGGGTCACGAAGAGTCGGACACGACTAAATGACTAAATAACAACAACAATAAAAAAGATGTTTTTATAAGAAGCGGTTTGATAACCTCCTCTTTCAGTGGATCTGGGAAGGCTCCCACACAGAGAGAAGAATTCACCACCCCACGAAGCCCATAGCCCAGCCCTTCCCGGCTAGCTTTTATAAGCCAGGATGGGCAAGGATTAATGAGACAGGTGGTTGGTTTCTCTCATCCAAGCAGTCTGTCCACATCCTCGGAGGTAACAGATTGGAACTGATCCCACACAACTTGACTAGACAGGACTCTAGCACTCTCCCGCCCTGTTCCCATGGGGGAGTCTACCTCTTCCTGAATCTGAGCAACTTTATCTGCAGAAAAATTTGCAAAATCATTGCAGGAGATCATGTGGCCCGTACTGGGCCCCAATGTAGCAGGTGGTTCTGCTAAATTGCGAACCACCTGAAAGAGTCTCCTGCTGCTGTTATCTGCAGATGTAATAGAGGCGGTGAAGAAAGTCTTCTTCGCCGTCGCTACCACCACTTGGTAGGTTCAACATTGAGCTCTAACCTGTGTCCGGTCAGCTTCAGAATGAGTTATCTGCCACCAGCGCTCTGGCCACCTCAGTGATAGTTTCATTGCCCTCAGATCCGTGGAAAACCACGGAGCTGTCCGGGCTCCATGCAATCGGAGAGGGTGCTTCGGAGCCAAACAATCAATAGCCCTGGTTAACTCCACATTCCAGTGGGCCATCAGGGAATCAGCTGAAAGGCCATCAACATGGGATACAGCATTCCCTACCACTCTCTGGAAACCATTTGGATCCATTAAGTGGTGTGGGCGGACCATCCAAATCAGTTTTGCTTTTACTTAGTGTCAGATCACCAACATCCATAGAGGTGAACACCAGGTCCAAGGCATGTCCACGGCTATGAGTTGGGCCAGACTTATTCAGGGACAGCCCCATGGAGGCCATGCTTTCCATGAAGTCCCGAGTGGCCCCTTGTAAGGTCGTGTTGGCATGGATGTTAAAATCCTCTAGGACAACCGAACTAGGTGTCTCTAGGAGATCATCTGCCACAACCTGAAGCAGCTCAGGCAGGGAATCCTTGGTGCAGTGGGGAAGTCGGTACACCAAAAGGAATCCTGTACTGCCCCTATTGCCCAACTTCCAGAACATGCACTCAGAGAACTGGGTCTTCCCAATAGGACGCCTGGTGCAAACTAATGACTTCCTAAAAATCACTGCAACCCCCCCTCCCCGCCCACAAGGCTTGGGTTGCTGTGCGTAAGAGAAACCTGGTGGACAAGCAGTGGCAAGGACAGGCCCATCTGCTTCATCCAACCAAGTCTCTGTTACACATTCCAGGTCAAGTACTCCAAAATCTCCTGGTAGATGGCTGCATTGACCCTGGACTTAGTGAAGCATAGTGGACCAACACCAGCTGATGACATGGCTCCCCAAATCAACACAAGACTGTGAAAACTTCACACTGGACTTCAAGCATCTGGCATTGTGTGCCTCCCCATTCTTCCTCCAGACTCTGGGTCCTTGGTTTCCAAATGAGATGCAAAAGTTGCTCTCATCAGAAAAGAGTACTTGAGACCATTGAGCAACAGACCAGTTCTTTTTTTCTTTATCCCAGGTAAGACACTTCTGACGTTGTTTCTTGTTCAGGAGCGGCTTGACAAGAGGAATATGACATTTGAAGCCCATCTCCAGGATCTGCCTGTGTGTGGTGGCTCTTGATGCACTAACTCCAGCCACAGTCCACTCCTTGTGAAAGTACCCAGCACGTTTGAATGGTCTGTTTCATTAATATATCTCCATTTTAGAGATGAAGCCTGGTGTTATGTTTATTGCTTGTTCTCCAGACATTTCATGCTAAGTTTGTGTTATTAGGCACTTCTGCATGAGGGCACACAGTGACACCATGATGTCTGGCATGCACTTTCTTGAGGAATCATAGGAGAGCATTGAAAAGAAAAGACTTTATAGATCAGTGGTAGAAGCACATACAGTTTGCACACAAAAAGAGATGAAATGCAAATATCCACAGGTGGGTGGAAGAAAAGTTGAAGTGCAAATATTCACATTTGGGTGGGAAACCACATCACTGATATGCTAAATCATGATAAGAAAGGACCATAGTTCAATGGCAGAGCATCTGTTCAAGACTCTTCAAGATTCAATCTTCCATGGCTGGGAATTTCTCCTGTCTCAATTCCTGGAGATTTACTCTTAGTCATTGTATAATATACTAATGCTCTGACTTAGTATAAGGCAGGTTCAAAATTCCTCTCATTGTGAGATAATTCCTGGTTATTCCTCTGTTGATAGAAGCTTTAGCTGCTTCCAGTGGCCAGCAAGAAGCATTTGTGTTGCAGGTAACATAGTATGCATAATTATCTGACCACGCTGATCCTGTTTTATAATCTTGCTCGTATGAAATTGTAGATCTAAATGTCATAAGCCCCCGCCCCTTGATTTTGAACCTACTCCGAGTATGACCAATAGAACATATATTTCACTGACTAGGGCTGCAAAGCTATATCCAATTGCCTGGGAGTAAACTGCACTGAACTGAATGAGGATGACATTCAAGAAGACTTGGATGGTATTTCTCTCACAATTATACATTATGTTCAAGAGTGAAACTAAAAGGAGAAAAAATCACTGTACAACAACCAGCCATTACTAAATTGATTTAACGTGTATTTTATTTCTTGCAGGTATTTTAATAAATTTTATTGTGTTATAATTAAAATGGTTGCAAGTCACCCTGACCAGTACATGGACACAAGAGGGATGATATATACAATTTGTATGCTAAACTTTCACATTTTGTGAATTTAAGATATATATGTTCCATCGGCTTAGGACAGAAGTGCACATTAAATATATATATATATATATATATATATATATATATATATATATATATATATATTCTTTTACCATATATAGGAACAGGTGCTTACTGCTAGATCAAGCTCACAGTCTGGAATCCATAGGGCAGCAAACATATAACACAGTGAATTGTACACTAATCTTTTCTTCTGATTAGCGGCTCTCCCTTTTCACAATAACTTGGCATATGGAGATCTCTACAGCCACCATAACAAACAAAACATTTGCTAATCAATAAACAGTCATCATCCAAAGATTTTGTTCTCCAATATATATTGGTTCCACTCATGTAGTGCATACTTGTAAGTTCGGGGTGTGTTTGTACAACATGGGCCTCCCCAGTGCCTTATTCCTGACCCTCATAGTAAGCAACAACACATCTAACATAACTCGGGACAATCCAGTGAACCACTTCTATGTGAAACATATGCATTGCTTGATGCTTACTCCTAGAATAAGCCGTAAGCACCCACTCCATAGTATGAAAACATATAATTGGCAAATACAGTGATCTAAAACTTTCTTTTTATTAGTTGTTCCTTGCTGTTCAGTTCGGGCCTCATAATAATAATGTAGCATTTGGGGAGAAAGATACAACACAGTAAACCAGCACTAGAGCCTAAGATGGAGAAAATCTCCACAGCTACCATGTATTTCCCCTTGGTGCTCAGGTAGGTTGGGACAAAAGATACCCAAACGCTGCAAAACAGCAACATGCTGAAGGTGATGAACTTGGCTTCATTGAATGTGTCTGGCAACTTCCTAGCCAAGAAAGCCACAGTGAAGCTGATGATAGCCAGAAGGCCCAAGTAGCCTAAGACAAGATAAAACATGAGGACAGACCCTTCATTGCATTCCATGACAATCTCTGTAGTCTGTGAGTGTATGTCCATATCTGGGAATGGGGGAGAGGTTGCCAGCCACACCATACAAATGCCTGCTTGAATCATTGAGCAGGAAAACACAATGGAGTTGGCCAATCTTTTCCCCACCCACTTTCTCATGCTGGATCCTGGTTTGGTGGCCATGAAAGCAACAACCACCGTGATGGTTTTGGCCAACACACATGATACAGCCACAGAGAAGATGATGCCAAAAGCAGATTGTCGTAGAAGGCAGGTCAACTTCCTGGGTTGCCCAAGAAAGAGTAATGAACAGAGGAAGCAGAGTAGGAGGGAAATGAGGAGAGCATAGGTGAGGTCTCTGTTGTTGGCTATGACTATAGGGGTATCTTTGTGCCTTATAAAAGTTTTGAGCACCAAAGCCGTGATGAGGGAAAAAGAAAGAGCAGCTGAAGTCAAACTGATTCCCAAAGGGTCTTCATAAGAAAGATAAGTTATTACTTTGGGGATGCATCTATCTCTGTTCTTGTTTGGATATTGATCTTCTGGGCATTTGAAGCATTCTTTCAAGTCTGAAAAAGCAAGAAATGCCATCACAGGGTCAAATTACATACAAAGCCAGGCCTCAGAAATGTTCAGTGTGGATGTTGAAGGCCATTGTCCCTGCTACTTCCAGTTTCCACACATGGAGTTAATCATTTTAGTATTAACTACATTCCTTCCCTCCACACTAATAATGAATACAATGAATGCTTGGGTTGTGAACGTGATCCGTGCGGGATGCATGTTCGCAACCTGTGCGTTCGCAACCTGCAGCGGCACGTCTGCGCATGCGCGGGTTGCTATTTGACCCTTCTGCACACACGCAAAGCACAATTTAGTGCTTCTGCACATGCGTGGCTGCCGAAACCTGGAAGTAACCCATTCCAGTACTTCCGGGTTTTGGTGCATCCGTAACCCAAAAAAACGCAAGCTGAAGAGACTGTAACCCGAGGTATGACTGTACTTGAGAAACAATGGAGTGGTTGATGGATCCTATATATTACACATAACAGTTAGCAGATCTACAACCTGCTTAGCCAAATTCAGAAAGTACTGGCAGGTAGAAGGCATGGCACCCACTGGTCTGTCAGGGCACGTTGAGTGCTGCAATCTGTGACTCCCTAGCCATGGATTGGGAACAAATTTCTCCCAACTAGCAACGTGAGCCTGGGGTATGTAAACTTAAGATGCATACTTGACCCAGCTGTCCACCCAAGTGTGCATTGTCTCCAAATACCCATAAAACCCCTTGAACATATGTTGACAAACCCCAACTATTTTTGAGCCTCTCAGGCACATGTTCATGTATCCTGACTGGTACTAAATTTCATGCATGTTAATCCTGTATGTATCAATATTTGATGTTCTCCATTACATACTTGTTTGGTTTGAAAACTTCCCTTCTGGGCACAGATCACAACTAAAGCAGCAAAATTTCTTCCCTTCCTCTTTTTTCTTCTGCTGACCAGGGGGGCAGGAATCACTACATACAGAAATGGGGACCACCTATCCATAAAAGAAAGGCGAGAGAGCTCAGGATGAGAGAGAATACGGTTGAGGAAAATGTTAATCATCTGAAAGTCAGATAAGGAAGTGAACAGTTAAACCTCAGTAAATTTGGCACATTGACAATAAATGTAGTTATTCAATATCTGCCCTGGGAAAACTGGTGGAAACTATTTTTAAAGATAAAACAACTCAGCATATAGAAGAACAAGCTTTGCTGAACTAGAACCACCTTGGTTTTTGTAACACCAAGTCCTGTCTCACTAACGTATTAGGGTTCTTTGAGAGTCTCAGGGAATAGACAGACGTCCCTTTGATAAAGTGATGCAGAATGTGGAAGATTACACCACCTTAGCTAATGGCCCAGGCCCTCAGTGTTTTGACCAATGCAGCATATATCCTGATTCCTCCATCTCACTCTTACTGCTTACCATTCAGCCGGCTAAAGCCTCCAAGGTCCAAGAGCATCCCATAAACCAGATTCAGCAGCACAGGGAGCTGAATTGGTTATGCTGCTGTCACTCAAACAATACTTGCGAATGCTCACTAGGAAATGGTGCCTTATCTCCTTCTCAAAGAAAAATAGGAGAAAAATGGGGTTCAGCCTAAAAAATAATGCTTGGCCCCTAGTGGTGACAGTCTACTCACACATTTCTCTCTGAGCTTGCTTAAATACAAAGATGCCATGTTGCAGACAATACTTCCTTTTTAAAGTGGTATTGTAGCTTCATTCAAGAAGATTCAAGTTTTCTACTGCTTCCCCTAGCAATGGGGTGTGGCATATTATTCCCTGACAAACAACCAAAGGGATTATTATAGAAACAGGCCCAGTTATGATACAGATCCATTACAGACTGAATGAAACTTTGCACCATTATCTACCCTGAATCATCTATCTGGATAACAGAGCGGCTTTCTCAGATTCCAAAGAATCCATACCTGGTTGAACTTTCTGTGCCACATTATGAGATCCTCATTAATGGTGAATTGTTCCCCTTCAAGAGCATGTGGAACCACTCTTCCAACTTCTGTTTTTAGAAAGGAATTGTTTGGGAATATGTACATATTCATTATGTCAAAGCTGGGTACAAATTCCCCATGATCATCAAAAGACACCTTTTCACCTGCTGAGTTGTTAAACAAAATGCCTTGAAGGAACAGGTGCAGCTGGTGGGGAAAGAGAAAATAAAATAAGAACAACTTCCTGCAATTTTTCTTCTGAATCTTTATGAACACCTTTGTTACTATTATATATTCATGAACGTTCCTTCTTTTTTATTTATAGAAAGCTAATACCAAAATGTAGGGTTGTTTTCCCCCCCAGATTTCAGTTATAGGAAAAATGTAAATTCATACATTTTATAATAAAGTAGAGTCATATGTTCCTATGAGTGATTACCTGTCAAAATGTTACCTGCCATGGCTGAAGATTCTGTAATTCAAGTCCTGTGCTACCCAATGTTCCTTGGTGCTTGGTCCTGAATGTACACATTGCATGCAATGCGTGAGCTATGGCGTGGACTGCAGTGTAGATACTGTAGCTGTGCCCACTCATTGCCATTTCGAAAACAGAGCTAGGAACGCTTTCCAGCTTCTCTTCCCCAGAACAGCGTTCATCATCATTATCTTCCATTAATCCCAGAGAATTTGGAAGTGAACATTCAAAAACCTGCTCCCAAAAATCTCTGAGAAAACCATCTCCTTGTGGCGAGTAAGGATTTCTGTTTTGAAGAAAGGTTTGGAACC